GGCGGAGCAGAGCGGGAGTGGACTGGCGAGCTCAGTTCCCACCTCACTAGCGTCCTCTCTCTCACCCTCTCAAAGAACACAAAGCCTGCCCCCTGGCTCCCCTTTGCCCCCCAGGTCTCACCCATTCTCCCAGTTCAGAGGGACCCCACGCTCAGCACCTCTGTCTCGAGCGCGCCCTCCCCTCTGGCTGCCCCCGGAGCTGCCGCTCCAGGCTGCGGAGTCTATTTTCTCCCACCGTACGTTTAAGGGCCTGTGGCTCAGTCTACGCATATATATCTTCAAAAAAAAATTTTTTTCAGTTCACAAAACTGGGATATTATCACTTCTTTGTATTTTGATTTTTTTATTTCATTCTATATATATTTTACATCATTCTTCCTTTTTTGTACAAAGGTGTAGTTCTTTACACCGGTACCAAGGTGACTTCTTTAAGTTTTCAATGTTGGGATCATTCACAGCGTTGCTTCAAGTTTTTAGTAGTGATTTCATTGTTTTTGATATTCTTGGAAGTGGGATTGTTTCTTTTTCAGGTCATTTGTAGTTAGTGTGGATTTTCCTAATGCACAGCTGATCAGAGCTGGTCTGTAATCTTGCTAACTCTTCTGGTTGGAAAATTGCTCCTAGAACTCTTGTACTTCTGCTAAAAAACCTTAAGTGGTTCCCCTTGCCCTACCCAGAAGCAGATCCAGGACTTGTGGGACCTAATGCATTTCTCGAAGACCTCTTTCCAAAGAGGGTGTGGGACAGGGCCAGTGCAAATGAGAAACAATGCTAGTCCCAGCTCACTGCTTTCACTTCAATCCCTGCCTGGTGGCTTTTGAACCGCTAGAAGAAGTTTGTTTAAAATGCAGATTCTTATACAAGAACCTAAGGTAAAGGCTTAGCGTCAGTTTTTAACAAGCACTCCAGGGATTCTGCTCTGACAGAGGTGGCCATGAGCCTCGTGCTATCTAGTCGATAACATTTAATCAAGCTGGAGCCCTGATGTCTCTACTTTGGCCCCAGCATGCCTCTCCTACCTTCATTCCACCACCTTGTACTGGTGACTTTGCATCTGGGCAGTGGTTCTGTAACTTTGGGGAGCACTATTCCTACAGCACATCACCCACTCTGGCTCCTGGGTCTCTCTGGTGCTATCAAGGCCTCAGCTGACTCAGCACCCACCTGCTTGCAAGCCACTAGGTTGAGCTCCATTGTTCCCCGTCTTTCCCTGGTGAGGCCACACTCTTGTTCCTGTCTGCTGTTCTGCACCTCCAATGCGTTCTCACACCCATTCTTACAAGGGGGGCTTATCATTCTCTTCAATCTTATCTCTCATCTGGCCCTCAGCATACATCCCAGCTTGCACAGGGAAGAATTTGCCCTGGGCTATTCTGTTTCCTGGCTTCCTTTTTGTGGATTGAGTTGGGTGGTTCTCAACTGGCATCTGGTGGGTCTCTTCCTTCCTGAGCAGAGTGGCTGGGGATGATGAGGGCAGAGGACGCTTATGAGTACCGAGGACTGGCTTTGACCAGCTTTCCCTCAACCACAGGAGAAGAGACTGCTGGGGGCGACAAGTTCATCCACGAGAGGGACCTGGCCTGGCTTCAGCAGGCAGATGGTGAGTGGCCTCCCTCCTACGGCAAACTCCTGTCTGGATGGGAAGCCCTAGGCAAATCTGGCCTCCGTATCAGAAGGGGCTCCCTAGAAGGCCCTCCTCACTGTCGAAACTATCACCTCTTCCCTAAAAGGCCCTGGTATTGAGCCTTACTGTCATCTTTCTTCACAGTGGTGGTGGCAGAAGTGACCCAGCCCTCCCTGGGTGTAGGCTACGAGCTGGGACGGGCTGTGGCCCTCAACAAGCAAATCTTGTGCCTGTTCCGCCCCCAGTCCGGTCGAGGTGAGCAACCTAAGCCCAGCATGGCCAGCCCCTCCCTAGCTCCCCAGTTTTCTGAGGACCCTGCCCTGAGCACCACCCCTGGGGTACTCTTGAGTATACTGCCCACCTCCAAGGACAGGAGGGGAATGGAGTGGCCTGGGGAGGGGTGAGGGAGGCCCCTTCACCTTCTTCTGCCTTGTCCAGTGCTTTCAGCCATGATCCGAGGAGCGGCACATGGCACACGGATCCAGGTGTGGGACTATGAAGAGAGCGAGGTGGAGGCCACGCTGGATCGGTACTTTCAGGCTAATCTTCCCCAGCAGGTGGCTGCCTCCTCTGACCCAACCACTTGACTTAACCACACTCTGAAATTCCTCTGATACAGATTCTGCTCTGTACCATTCCTACCTCTCAGCCCCATACAAATGAAAAGGTGGGGCTCCCTGGTGGCACAGGGGTTAAGTCTCAGAGCATCACCATGATGGCCTGAATTCAATCCCCAGCCAGGGAGCTGACCCACAGGGCACAGCAGATCTCTCCTGACCCGCCCGCTGCTCCCCTCAGCAGTGGATTTCAGTCGATCTGCCTGTTCTGCTCCCCTCTCTGTCTCTCGTGAATCCTCTTAACCATCCACACCTCTGGCCTAGACCTCAGTTCTTGTATGCATAAATAAAATACATCTTAAAAAAAAAGTTAAAAAAAAGTCAAGGTTGTGTTTACAAGTCTAATTTGCTGGCTGCATGTGTAGTGGGAGGGGCAGCCTTACTAATATCCTTTTCCCCTCGTTTTACTGATTTTATGCTTAAGATTTATTTATTTATGCATACAGAACTGGGGTACAGGCCAGAGATGCAGGGATGGTGAGAGGGTTCACCAGAAAGAGTGGGGAGCAGAACAGGCTGATCCACTGAAGTACACTGTTGAGGACAGCAGCGGGCAGGTCAGGAGAGGTCTGCTGTGCCATGTGGTCACCTCCAGGGCGGGGATCGAACTCATGCGGAAGTTGCTGCGGATCACTCCATAGTGTTGAGCTTTAACCTGTTGCACCATCAGGGCGGGCCCCCCTCATTTCACTTTTAACATACTGAGATACCCTTTGAAAGTCTGTGGGCCCCCAAGAGGAAATCACTTCCTGAGGCCCTCCAGCCCCACCAGGAGCACTCAGGACTGGTGAGATGGCCAGTGCTTTCTCATCAGGACTGCTTTCTATCTTCGTATGGCTGGGCTCGGTCTGCGCTGGCCTTGTACCATGTGGGCCCTCACTTCCCCCTGCAGAGGTCAAGTGAGTCTGCTTTGAACATCCTCTGAGGAAAGAGGCCTCTGGAGGTCTAAAGAAAACCATAAGGAATGGGAAGGGTTAGGTGTGAGTGGAGGGAGGTGGGACTGGAAGCTGGCCTTTGGGGCAGCTACCCAGCCTGCTCTGGAGATGTGAAAAAAAAAGAGTTTATTCAGGAAACAGAAGAAAGTGCTGTAGGCGCTGGGAATCGCCTCCCCCATGAAGGAGGGGTGGGGTGAACTCCGGCCAGCTCAGCACAGGGCTGGCGCTCCAGGTGCTCCCTGCGTCTGGCCCCTCAGTCATAGACCTCGTCGTCATCCTCCTCATCGCCAAAGAAGAAAGTCTCTCGGTCCAGGTTCTCGGACTCCTCGTCGTAGGAGAAGCTGTCATTATCCAGCTCCTCATCGAACTCATCCTGCTGCCACTCTGGCACATCGTCCTCCTCGTCCTCGTCGCCCACCTCCAGCCCCGAGGAGCCCAGCGGCCTAGGGAGAGGGCGCCTCACTCAGCCCAGAGGAAGCCTGCAGCTCCCCTCCCCCCACTCAGGGCCCCTGCCCCCCCACTCACTGGTGGCCTGGCACGTTAGAGCCTTTCGTCTCCTCAGGCTCCAGTGACGGACTCTGGAGGCCAACCCGGAAGTCCTGGCCAGGAGACAGGAGGGTTCCGGGAAGGAGCAGCAGCCAGGAGCTGGGGTGCGCCCCCGCCTCCTAACTCCCACATGTGACTGCTGATGCCCCCACGCCTGCAGGTGTGAGGGAGGGAGAGGTGGGGGGGTGGGGGGCACGCACCTGTGTGGAATGCTGCAGGATGGCCAGCAGCCGCTCCTGGATGCGGCGCAGCAGCTCCAGGCCAGTGTTGAGACAGTCTGCCCGCAGGAGGCGCAGGGACGAGGCCAGGTCGCTGCACCGCAGCAGGGTCTCCTCTGCAGGGGGGCAGGGCGCAGGGCTCCCTCCCTCCCTGCTCCCTCCACTCCTTCCCTCACAAACACCTACGGATCATCTACCAAGTTTTACCAGGGCCTACTGGGCACCGCCCTCGACACTCCTCCTCAGGGGCTGTGGCCCTCCTGGTAGGGCCAGATGGCCACCGAGTCAGGGGCGGGCGAGGAGCTGTACCCCGGGCGCCTACGGCACGCACTTCACACCTCCTTCCGAGTGTTAGCGGGCGGGCGAAGGTGGTGCGGCCAGGGAGATGTCGGCGGGGGTTATCAGGACAGGGACTGGGTGAGCTGCCGTCTCCTCCGCGGTGTGTCCCTGCAGGCTGCTCAGATGGGACAGGCGGCGGGAGAAAGGGCTGCCCAGGGCTGGGGGTGGCCTCACCCAGCAGGATCTGCAGGGCATTGGTGTGCAGCTCCAGGTTCTCGGTCTGCTGCTCCAGCACGTCCATGTGCTCCGTGTCCTGGTTGTAGAAGCTGCACACACAGGCGTAGGCCAGCACCTAGGGGCACCCAGGTCAGCCCGCCCCTGCGGGGGCCCCCACCCATTCCAGCCGCCCCCCCCTTCAGCCCCCCCCACACCTGCTCTCCTCCTCGCCCTCCCACCACAACCTTTCGAGCCTGCTCGAGTCCCCGGCAGGCATCGCTGAGGAAGGTGAAAGACTTGGTTGGGGGCACCTCGTGGATGGCAGAGACCCGGTTCCGCAGGTTCACAGCAAAGTCCTGCATGGTGCGGGGCAGAGCAGCACTGTCCCCTGGGGTCTCTGGTCCCTGCCCAGCCGCCACCCCAGCCCTCTGCCACCGGACCCAGCGGCTGCCCCTGCTTACTCGCGCCTGGTGGTGGAAAGTGCACCTCTCGTTATAGTCCTGGAACCGCTTCTCCTGGCGAGCAGCTTTGCTCACCTGGGAAGGACACAGGAGAAGGCTGCTGTGCTGTCAGGGGAGCGACCAGAGTGGCTGCCCAGATGTTCTCTGAAACCCTCAGAACTTGGTGGTCTCATTAGCAACCCCTTTTGCAGCGAGGGTCCTAAGGCTTCTTGCACAAGTAACCCGACTGGCCCAAAGCCACACTAAGGGGGGGCGCTGGGCTGAGACTCATCTCTGCTCCGCCCTGGAGCCTCCTGAGAAGGCCGGGCCGGCCCCAGCCTTCCTGAGCCACCTCAGTGTGAGGCATCTCACGCAGATACAAAGGCCGCACACAGAGGCCCCTCAGCACCTGTGGGTCGGGCGGCTTCTGTCTTCGCCCACGGAGCCTTTGCCCCAGCTACGCAGCCGCTCTGGAGGTGGAGCCCTCCGCCCAGGGCCCGAGGCGGCATCCTCTCCTGCCCACCCGTGGGCCTCTGCCCTCCTCGCCAGGCCCAGCCCCTTACCATGGCAGAGCAGTTGTAATAATCTTTGTGACTTGGCTTCCAGGACTTGAGGCAGCGCCAGCAGAATCCATGGTTACATTTGGCACACGTCATGCTGTGGAGGAAGCCAGCTGCCAGAGGGCACCTGCCTCTGGCTGGGCCAAGCAGAAGGACCCTGAGATGCCCTGGCCGCCCTGCGCCCTCTAGTCTCCTAACCGTCCAGCACTGCCTGGGGGTGCCCCGTACAGTCCACATGGAAACATGAAAGTGGGTGTAGAGCAGCAGGATCCCGGGGTCACTCACAGGGCACTCTGTGCCCACACTGTGCAGCTCTCCCAAATCCCACTGCCCCCTCCGCACTGCCAGGCCTCCACAACACGCCCGCTTACTGCAGACAGCCCTCGTTCTTTTCGATGGGCGCTTGACAGCTGGGACAGCGCTTGGAGATGAGTTTGGCCAGGTGCTTGCTCTGTGCCTCCACGCTCATGCCGTCGTAGTAGCCACCATCGTCCACCCACTGGGACATGTGGCCACAGCTGGCAGGGTAGTGTGCCTGCAGGGGTGGCAAGGACACAGCTGAGCCCTCGCTGGAAGGCCACGGCAGGGTTCGGAAGGCGGCCGTCGCGTGCGCGGGGAGCGGAGCAGGCCTCCGCTGGGGCCGGCTGGGCGGGCACCCACCTCAGGGAAGCTACAGTTGAAGCAGGAGGCCCAGCCACACTTGGAGCAGGTGGTCCCGCAGCCCAGGCCCTGGCGGCACAGGATGCGGTCGCAGCCCTGGGGGTTGGTGCACCAGGTCAGGTTGGAGCAGCTGTCCACGTAGCCACGCAGCAGGGCCTTCTCATACTGCGGGAGGGCCCGGGGAGTGAGGACAGGGGTCTCGGACACCTGCCCTGCGGCCCACCCTGCCCCTGTGCCCGGCCACCGCTCGGGAGGGGTACCTTGGAGATGACCTCTGGCGAGGAGACGATGGCACGAATGAAGGCTCCGGTGGGCTGGGCGGGGCAGTCGGCGATGGGGCAGGTGCAGTTCAGCACGAGGTTCCGCTCGATCCGAGTTGTCAGGTACTCGTTCCAGCAGGACTGGGAGGGACAACGGGGGACTACTCGGGACAGCACCCCAGGACTGAGAGCACCCCCCAAAGAAGGGTGGCGTATGGCAGGGCAGAGACAAGCCTGCTTCTCCATCAGCCTTAGGAAGGACCCAACCTCTCCAGCACCATGAGCGCTGTCACAGTGGTTCTGAGGCTCTGTGGGCCAGGGGTAGTCGTCTACTTGGAATTTTTGTTGAGATGGACAGAGGGAATGGAACGTTGAGGAGAATCAAGAAAAAGGAGACAGATTACAGCTCCAAAGAGAGAGTGAGGCATGAAAGAAGTGTGGGCGGTGGGTCCCCTCTTCACACTGGGGGGCTGGCCTGGCCGCTGCAGATGCAGAGTGCCGGCTTCTCCATCTGCCCACCTCAGTGCCTGCCTTGATGCTCCTGGCTTACCCATTGCACCCCGAAGTCCTGAGCCATGGTTCTCCACACCCCCAGTCATCAGTACCCCTTGTCACTGCCCTTCTAGATCCATTATTCCCTCCCTCCAAACTACTGAGTTAGACCAACGCTCTTCCCAGCGCCACCTCCCCCCATGCTCTATGCACCACGGACCTCCCTTTATGCGCCCGACCCCAACTGTCCAGCTTTCCAAAATGATGCCTCCAACCCCCCAGAGAGTACATGGCTGGATGGCTTCCAGGATATATGGGAAGCACTTGACAGGCCTATTGTTACTCAAAGGAAAATACCAGAAACAAGCCCAAACCCTTTTCGGAGTGAAACCACAAACTGAGAAACTGAATGCAAAATTGCTGCCTCTTTAAGATAAAACATTAAAGTTTTCTGGATCCCGACTCCAGACTCGCAGGCAGAAAGGTGTGTGCACAGCCAAGGATGGAAGCACTGCCC